CCCAACAAAATCTTCACTCCTTTTACCCTTTTTGATGTAGCCTTCTTTCTATGACTAGCTATGGAAGATCTGTTCTGCCAGTCTTGAAGTCAGTTTTAGAGTTAGTCATAATCAACATAGTGGCTGTCTTGGTGTGTCTCTGGGACGTGGCGAGCTCAAGATCCTGTTTGGCCCTCAGCTTTGCTCTGCTCTTACACTTTCATTTAAATGTTTACAGATGATTTCTTTTAGTTCTATGTACACATTTAAAATGGATTACTTAAAATCTATATCTAGTAATAAGTCCAATGTCTGGACTTCTCCAGGGGCAGATTTTTTTTTTTAATTTACAGAGAGTAAGTGTGTGAATGGGGGAAAGGGTCAGGGGTGGAGGGGAGAGGAAGAGAGGGAGGGAGAGAGAGAGAGGGAGAGAGAGAGAGAGAGAGAGGCTCTACACTCAGCATGGAGCCTGATGCAGGGCTTGATCCCATGACACTAGGCTCATGATCTGAGCCAAAATCAACAGTCGGATGCTCAAGTGACTGAGCCACCCAGGCGCCCCTTCAGGGACAGTTTTAATTGACTACTTTTTTTTTTTTTTTGCCCTGTATATGAGTTGTGCTTTATTTCTATTCATCTCGTAATTTTTTGTTGAAAACTTGATGTTTAAAGTAATAGAATGTGGCAACAATGGAATCAGGTTCCCATCTGCCTCTTAGGGTTTGTTATTGTGTCTATATCTTGCTGTTTCTCTTTGTTTAGTGACTTTCCTAAACTAATTCTGTGAAGCTGGTATTCTTTACAGTATGTACCCACTTAAGTTTCCACCTAATGGCTGGCTAGTGATTGAAGAGATTTCCTTATACACTTGGAACCAATAAATCTCCCAATCTTTGCTAATCGACTGTTTGAGGGCACACCTTCAACATTCAACCAGGCTGTTGACGATTCTGCCTTAGTCTTTCACATCCTGACTCTGTACAGAGCCTCAAGGTCAGCCAGAGGTGAGAGCTTAAGGCCTACTTAGGTCTTTCTTGAGCATGTACACAGTCCTATCTACAAGCTTAAAACTGTAGATTGTTAGAGCTTTTCAAAGTCCCTATAGACTTTGATATCTATGGACCTCTTATTCACCAGCTTTTTCTTTTAAGCTTTTTGGTTGTTTATGGTTTGCCCCAAATGTTAGCTATACCTCAGACAGCCATGAAGTTAAAGTATTTGTAACTGGTTCTGAAAAATGCTCCACCCTTCCCAGACCACAGAGGTGTTTTCTACTGGGCAAGCTCCGTATCAGGTCTAATATGGACAGCCTTGTAAGCGGGGTATTCGAGGAACCACCAGTCTGGTCAAATAATGATAATTATTTGGCAATTCGGCTTTGAAAGAGCTCCACCTTTGTTTTGTCCCTTTGGTGCCTGAGAGGTTGCAGTGGAAAAGTGGGCTCTTCTTTCTCAAGGCTACTCCTGAGCTGGAGAGCAGGGGATTGGACTAAGGCAAGTTAAAATGCCACAAAACTCACTGTTCACACCGTTTTCTTGATTAAATGCTCCATGGGCTTCTGCAAGCTTTTGAGAGGTAATTTCTTTTCTTTCTTTCTTTCTTTCTTTCTTTCTTTTTTTTTTTTTTTTGGCAGTTTTTTCACTGCTTTTATGGAGGAGTGAATTTTTGAAGGTCCTCACTCTACTATTTTCAGTCTTCCTGCTCCCGACTTTGATTTTTGGAATTACAAAAACAGCAGGTATACTATATAAACTGTATGTGCAACTACATCACCCCCACATTTGAAAAGCACAGCCTACTCCACAGAAGTGAGGTGGCTGAGAAGGCTATCAAGAAACACAGACAGGGTTTCTTGGCCTTTAAGGGGTTTACAATCTAGTCTGAAGGATAAGACATATACTCAAAAGATAAAAGTATCAGTACCTGAAAACTTCAAGAACACGATAAATGCTGACTGGATAAATAACAACCTGAGTTATAAATGCAAATCCTACAGAATCTCAGAGAAGGGATTGAGTAGGGTTGAAAACTGCATCACAAAAAGGAGGTCTCTGCTTGAGTCTTGACAGAAACATAGCAAAGTGGTGAAATGAGGCAAGAATGTGCCAGGAAAGGAAGTGTTTCTCAGTTTGAGAGGGTTTTAAATATTCTTAATACGAGCCTTTATGTATTCTGGATGCAAATCCTTTGTCAGATATATGGCAATAATCATTTGTCTTGAGACGAGGGTTCACTCATAGGTATAATGGGAGATAAACTTATCAAGATGGGGTTTAGTTAGCGGAAGGCCCTGAATGCTAACATAAGTGAGACTTGATTCCGTAGGCTGGAAGGTGGCAAACGACGGCCACAGACCTCAAGCCAAAATTACCTATTTTTGTAGGTAAAGTTTTATTGGAACACAATCATGCCAGTTCATTCACTATGGTCGAAGGCTGCTGTAGTGCTACAATAAGTAAGCTGAAAAGTTGCAAAAGAGAACGTATTTCATCTCTCCTTTTGTATCTTTGTTAGGAGTTCCACAGAGCCTAAAATATTTTCTATCTGACCCTAATATTGGCCATGACTCTGGACCACACCTTCAGGCTATAGCCTCAGCCATGGATGATAAGACTGCTTACAAAAATCTAGGAAAAAGGTGAGCAGCACTAGATGAGGCAAAGTTTTCAGGACTTATGGCTTGTTGAAGGGAGACAGTAAAAAGTGAAACATGACTCCAAGGTTTTGAACTTGTAGGACTAGGACAAAGATGGCAGTCCTAATTGAAATAGAACGTTTGGAGTAAAGTTAGGTGAAAGTATAATGAATCTGTCTTTAAACATACTAAGTTTCAGGTGTTAGTGAAACTTTCAACCGGGATATTTAATAGTCAGAGACTGAATACTTCAACATGGGAGGGATGACAGAGTTGGAAATGGGGATTTAAAAGTTCTCTGTAGAGTTGAAGCCACAAAGAATCGTACTGAACTCCTAGGATAAATCCAGAGAAAGGATAACTGAGTGGAAGACTAGTATTAGGAGATACTCACATATATCAAGTAGAGGACTGGAAGAAGTGGAGACAGTGGAGGAAGGGCCAGAGAGAAAGGTGGGAATCAGGGTAGCAAAGTCATATAAGCTGTGAAAGCTGTTTTAAATAGAAGGCACAAGGATGAACAAAACTGTATAAAGGAAAGAGTGAATGGATAGAGGGTCAACTGGAACGGCCAAGTGTCAAAGTTGTCAAAAGAGAGTATCAAGGCAAGGGGTAATTTTTCAGGTGAATCTATTAAATGCAGTGCTTTATAACTTTCATACTAGAAATCCTACAGGAAGTAGACTTCACATTTATTTATGAAAAGATATTCAGCTTTTCTACTGATTTAATTTTCATTACAAGACAGTAACTCATGTGTCAGACAGCTAAAGGATGATCACAATCGCTATTAAGAAGAATCTCTTAAAAAGAGGATTACAGAAATGATTGGCAATAAGAGAGAAATGTAAGGTTATTAAAAAGACTTACAAAAAGCAAGGAGTGCTGCACCAGGACATAAGAAACAACAGAGAAGCCTGGAAGGATAAATAGGTCTGGTAACCACTTCTCTAAAGACTGCTGCTGTTGATTACATGCCTTGTCCAACCAGCCCCTCTTAACTAAACCCATTATTTTATTATAACTGTTTGGCTACACGCGTAGGTCCTAACTAAAGTTCCCTGAGTGAAAAATTGTTTTTCTTATCACTTATATCTTCACTGAATCCCCATGCTCCTACATACTTTCTGTTGTAAGATGCTAGGAAAACTTAATCTGAGTTGAAAATCATTTGTTTTTAATTTCCTAATAGGAAAATATCATTAAATGTATTAGTGAATAATCTAACCCACTCACCTACAGATTTATACAGAGCAAGTAAGTAAAAGAAAACAAGAAACAATGAATACAGATAGGTATTTGAATAAAATATGGAGTATAAAGAGAGAAACAATATTCTCAATCACTGATATTTGCTAGGACAAACGGACAAAAATCTATTTAAGAGCTAAAGTAGTGAACATTTATAATGAAAAGGGAAGTGCCTTGCAATAAAAAAGCAGAAAACAATATTTAAACAACACCATGTAAAAACCAAAGAAAATAGGGGCGCCTGGGTGGCGCAGTCGGTTAAGCGTCCGACTTCAGCCAGGTCACGATCTCGCTCTCCGTGAGTTCGAGCCCCGCATCAGGCTCTGGGCTGATGGCTCAGAGCCTGGAGCCTGTTTCCGATTCTGTGTCTCCCTCTCTCTCTGCCCCTCCCCCGTTCATGCTCTGTCTCTCTCTGTCCCAAAAATAAATAAACGTTGAAAAAAAAAATTAAAAAAAAAAAAAAACCAAAGAAAATAAATAAAACTGAATAGGGTGTTTTAAACTCTTCAGTATATAGATTTTTTTTTAAAAAAGTTTGAATTAGCAAATACAGGGAGAAACAGAATTAGAAACAGAGATTCTACAGGAAATGTCTGGGAGACTTCAAGAACTTTAAAAGTTCGTAGGCACTTTATGACACCCAATTTTACTTCAAAACTAATTATATTATGTATGAAATGTATTAGTCATGTCATGGATAGCTTTTTGAATTGCAAATAAAAACAGAAAAATAGGAAAATGAAGAGGGTATGAATGAAAGAGTTGGAGGCAGTGCCCATGATGTAAGGATGGGAGTCTGAATTGGTTACTACACATAAGAAGGGAGAAACAATGTATATGAACTCCCAACAAAAGTATAAAAGGAGGTGACAGAGAAAAGAGGCGTGATTCTTGAAATTAGCCACTAGGTGGTGGCATTGGCCCAGGACTGTTCAGTTGTGAGGGCTGGAAATCAGGCGCCTGGAGTAAGCAACCGTGTGGTCCCTTGTAGCTACGAGACTGTGAGAGAATGACATTCTACTTGATAATGTTAACAAAAATTTTGAAAGCAAACACCAGCTAAATTCATCAACAAATTATCAAAGGTTTACTATGAAATGATTACTAAAAAATATACCTTTGCTCATCCACTCACCTTTACTACATTGTCTCCTGACTGTCCATTATTTCGTAAACAATCTAGACATATAGCAATTTGTGGGTCACTTCTGTGATAGTCTTTATCATCTTGATTTTCATCACCTTCTTCATCTACTTTAGGTTTGTCAACTTTTGAAGTATCATCTGTATAATTTAAACAAAACTAAGTCAGATGGAACTCAAAGTTGATTTTAAAGTTAAGCAACAGTATATTCATCATCAAAACAAAAACAAAATCATCAAAACAAAAATGTTTAAAAGACATTTCTTAGTTTTTGATTGAAGAATAACTAAAAATTTTAATATCTTTAAAATGTTCCAACCAATTCAACAATGGAGATATTTTTAAAAAGCCATCAGTGACTCATTAACATGGCCTAAAATTTCTAGACTTACTGGGACATCCAAATGAAAGATTCAGGACTAGCTATATCTGGCCACAAAAATGATCGCAACTGGTGATTAGATCACTTAGAAAGTAGGCAGGACATAAAAATATTCCAACTTCTATATACATTCAAATTTGAAACTAAGTACTCTTTTCAAAATATAAAATATTCTTTGAGTTCTCAACATTTCAAATTATTAAATAGCCATAAAATCAGTTAGTGAAATGAGTAGAATGAGTTAGCTTTCGAAACATGTATGTAGCTGTGTAACATTAACAATCCATTAGGGAAGTCTGGATAGCATACGTCGTGTTATACACAAGTGTATTTAGCCTATGAAATACCTGCAGCCTACATTGCAACTCCATGTGCTGACTCCCTTACTTACAGAGTCCCTTTAACTCTGTGGTGGATATGCATTGTGCTAGGCTTGAGGGAATACTGAAACTAGAGTGTTATCATCCTCACCCTCATAGTGGTCAGGGTACAGGAAGAGATACAGGCAAGTAAAGAAAACAGACAGATGGAGAAATATGATAAGGACTTTGATGGAAGAGGTAAAAACAGCCTATGTGGAAACATGTAAGAGAGTTAATAAATCCAAACTTTGGGGTGAAGCAGAGATTCAGGGAAGATTTCCAGATAAACTATCTCTAAACTGAAACCTGAAAGAGCTAGCCAGTTAAGCATTACAGTATACAAAATCCTAGAAAGAAAAAATGACAGGTTAGCTCCTCTTTAATGACTAGTAAAAGCATCACAGTTATATCATAAAGGGCGGGTGGGTTCTCTTTCTTCTGCATTCTTTCTTCTACATATTTATATGGAGCCCAAGTAGACAGGGTGGGTTTTTATGAACCAACCTCCCAGGCTCCAAGAAAAGATCCAAATTCTCTACCCAAACTAAGAGCAAACATTGTAAAATACTTTAAAAAGAGAGAGAGATGGGTAAAGGGAGGTCCACACACAGGAGGCTGTGGTCCTTTGTGAGTCTTGTAAGATACAGAGTTATCAACTAAACCTACTACGTAAAAGCTTCTGATAACAGTCCCTTGGGTTCCTGCCCTCTTGAAAAGACAGTCAAAAATTGGAACATTTAGTCAACTTTAAATTATTTGCACTTTTATTAGAGCACTACTGTCTAAACTGCAATGTACACTTGGTAAGACAAAGCCTTTAGCGAAGTCTTTTTTTTTTTTTTTTTTTTTTTTTTTTTTTGTCTGATTTGGCTTCTTTGCCCATTTTGTTGTTATAGATAATAAGCCTTTACTATCTTATTCCAGTCATTGAAAGCTATTCTCAAACCTCCCCTGCTTTGGAAGCCAGCCTTGAACAGTTAATAAAACTATGACCCTCAGTTTACAGATGAAAAGAGAAAGAGAGCGTTTCCTCACCCATACTAATGATGTATGATTGACAATCCTATGATCTTGAGGGAAAACCAAGGGTAAGAGACTGAGCTCACAATGAGCCTATAAAAACATACATCCTTAAAAGATTTTAGTGGTATTCAGGCTCTCCTGAAATAAATATCGTATTAGAGAACAATGGGAAAGGATACTAGTTCCTTCTAATTTCAGGTATGGTGTACTCCCCCCCCCCCTTGTGTGAATTATACATACTAAAAGCCTTTTCTCTGCCCAGTAATGTTTGCTATTTTGCTGACATTATTAAAAATTACTGATGGCTGAGTCTCCTGGGATCCAAAAGAGAAATCTGGACACTCAGCATAAGTGATGGAGAAAATCCCCATAAGTGACTAGAAATATTTTTTAAATCCCAAAATGTACAAATCTGTATCATCTGAGTTCCACCTATAAAAACTTAATTCCAGATTATCAGAGCATAGAAAGACCCCCTATTTTGGCACTCAGCCACATCTTGGTTCCTTCTCTTACTAAAATAAACACATAAACTAAAATAAATAAAACAGAAAACCCCTCCATGTTTAGCTGCAGACTATGGCTACTAGAGTTTCCTTCAGCTCTCCAGCAAATATTGCTATAATCAGTAGTCAGTTTTTAGTCTTAACTCCCTTTTCTCTTCCCAAAGTCCAATTTCCTCTATTTCCAATTACCTTCAACTGCCGTAACTCCAGATTTACATATATGTATATAACATCTCATGATTTTATGTAAAAGGTTCACAATGTAAATAAAGGGGTACATGAATTTTGTACAGGATAAATTTGAGCTTGAAGAGATATTAGTTCACCAAAGCTACATAAAGCTAACCGATTTGAGAGATTGTACCAGAGAAATAAGAAAAAGTCACCTTGTCCATTTTCTTGAGGCTTATTTTTCTTCCAAAATTCAGATTCACGCTCAAGTTCTTCTAATTTAAAAGAAAAAAAAGGTATAACAGAAACAATCACAAAATCTTTAATAGAAATGCTGACTTCACAGAACACAAAAATCTGCAAGAAGCCAAAAAGCAACTTACGTTCTCGCAGTCCAGGGACCAGCTTAAATATAATTTCCTCTAATGTATTATCCAACCTTCCAAAGAGGAAAAAAGAGAATATATACTAACAATGAAGATATCAAAATCCAATATGTAAAGAGTTTGAGATCTGTATCTTACATGTATTGCAAAATTCAGAACATACACAATTTTAGCACATCCACTATACCAAACTCCTCTGCATTTAGAGTGCACCCATTTCCAGCCTTTCCCACAGTGTCAGATCCATGACAAAAGTGGTCCCAGAGTCCCCAGCTCTCTACATCTCCACCCTCTGATCAGGACTTTGAAATCCCTCCCTTGATTAAAGGATGGCATCTATCTCCCCATCTCAACAATCTATATGGGCTAGCCTTGAAACGTGCTTAGGCTAACGGAATGTGGCCCAAATGACACCATGCTGGGTTCTGAGCCAAAGCCTTAAGAGGCCTCCTGTGCTCCGTGCGCTCTCTCTCTTAGAATCCTGCCATCATGAGAACAAGTCAGGAGGACGGGACACCACGTACGAGCCAAGCTGCCCTGATGAGACCACTTTTGACTCATTCATTCACTGTAGTCTTCTGAGTGAGTCCAGCCAAGACCAGAAGAACCACCTAGATCTATGAGCCACACAGGACTGTGAGGAATAACAAACGCTTTTATTACTGCTTTAAGCATTAAATTTATGGCTCGTTTGTTATGCAGCAATAGCCGATACACCTGTTCTCAAACTCTCTACCACAATTCTGGCTCTTTGCTGTAACGGAAATGATGTCCATTCCTTTCTTCTGAGCAATTTAGACCTTTTAGTCACTCTGTCTTCCTAGATAATACATGTAAACACTTATCTTGACATTTTTCCTGTTTCCTTTTCCTGCCATGTAAGAGTGAAATGCCTCCTTTCTGTGACTGTTTCTTCACTCTCCCCCTGCTCCCACAGCCCCTCTGCTCCCCACCCCCACACCCTGCTCAGCAGCATCGCTCTTCTAGGATACAAATATGGACAATCTTCTCACATCTCAAAACCCCCCAAACCTTTCCTTAATCTACTGTCTTTTCAAGCTTTTGGCAGTTTCTCAATATTTTCTTCTAACTGGAAAAGTCTGAAAGCATAATTGATGTTAGTTCTGCCCCATACTCTGTGTTTTGTTTCTTTTACTCTCCTGGACTCCTGGAATCATCCATAGCTTCCATAGTGCACGGGTTTAAATTCTTGCTTTAGAATTGCAGTTTAAAGTTTTAAAATGGTTTTTAAAAGTCATTTCTCTCTTATATTGCAGCTTGACGCTGTTGCCAGATACTGCCTCCTTGAAAATTCCCCCTCCTGGTTTTCCTTTTTTCTCTCTACTTCTCTTTGTCCCTAAGTACTTTCTTTTCCCGACTACCTCGCAATTTGACTATTCTTCATTGCTGTGCACTCTTGACCTCTTCTACAGGCTGCATGCCCTGACTATCACATCCACTCTGTGGCTTGAAAGCTAACATCCAGGCAGATTGTATGTGCACGTGTGTGCATGTGTATACACAAACATAGATGCATATCCATTACACTTCTCTGCTGAGCTCAAGTTCCATTTTTTGAACTGATGTTGAATATCTCAAGCACCTCCTTTTGCTCATCAGTGTCAAGACTGTCTCATCTATCCCTCAACAAAATACTGAATACCTCTCTCATCGTCTTACTTTTTAAAAATGAAATTTAGAAATGATACCATAGCTCTCCCAAACAGGCTCAAAATGCAAGAATTATCTAAGCCTTCCCCCACCCCCCCCTCACAGTGCGTACACTGACTCACCAAGCCCCGCTGGCTGCACCTTCTCCATGTCTCTCCCACCTGGTCTTTCCATACCTCCCATGCTCCCACTGTCAGTCACCACCCTACTTAGAAGACAGCACATAACTACTTCTCTTTAAGTTGACATACTCTTAGTGAATTTTCCTTAAGCAGTCACTTGACCATTATCTGTCTGCTCAAGGACTGATTTCTTCCCACCAGCTGGTTTGAGTGTTTATCTAACTTGAATCCAACCCACAAATCGTAACTGGTGCTACTCTCTTACTGTCTCTCTTCTCTAGCCAACTGGCTTACTTAACTATCCCTAAGAATGTCTTGTCAATTCCCATCTGTTTTCTCCCTCATGCTCTTCATCCTGGCTCATACACTCTTTTCTTGCTCTCCAACCCAACCAATTCAACCCAACCTTATTCTTCAAAACTTACCTCAAATACTAACTTGTTCACAAAGTTTTCCCAGACTATTTAATAGAAATAATACTTGAGAAGCAGTATTTTTCTTGATTTTTTTTATCAGAGTACTATATACATGGGTAAATATACACATAATTGTATATATACACATACATATATACACATCTATTATATATACATACACCTATGTGTATATATACACAATCATACACATTATATATGTACACACACACACACACACACATACAATTCCCAAATAAAACTTCCCCATTAAACTTATATTAAAATACAACATTTTGATGAGCCACCCTTCCATTTCTGACGCTCACAACTGAGGAGGCAGCCACTTTTAAATCCAACCTGTTTCTTCTGGTAGCCACGCCTTTTCTGCTGTCTAGATTCTTCTGACTTCCTTTTATGGAAAATAAAGATTTGGTTCTCTGCTATCATCTTGCCAGCCCCCTTTCCTCCAAACTACTCTCATCTCCCTGATTTACTCTTATTATTATTTTTTGGTTTAATAACCAGTTTACACGGTTATATAAATATTTGCAGTGTACTCTGATTATAGACATCACCTCATGCAACTTTTTTCTTTCTCTAAAGCTAGAAATTGCTTTCTTTTCTTCATTTTCTAAGTACCTATTCCCAAATTCTTACAAGAATTTGTTCTCACTGTTCAACAAACAGATCCGGAATCAACTAGTTTCATTTCTGTTCCCCTGAGACATCCCTCATCAAATTGATGCCCTCTGTCCTCCTATCCAGTTTAGGACTGATTTACTCCAAGGTCAGTCATTAAAACCACACCTTTGCATGTACCTTTGATTCCCCTGTCTGTCCCTCTCTCACTTGCTCAAAATTATTTGGTACAACCACAACACTGGCTAAATCCAACAATCCATCAACTCTGTGCCTGCATCCGTGGCTGGAAAAAAACACAACCACACCCCTACAAATTCATAACTACAATCCAAATGTTCTTTTAAAGTCGTTAGGAATCCTACTTCCCTTCCCTAGTCAACTTACTCTCTCACTTTGGTGGATTCACCGTTTTTTCTCTCCTCAAACCATTACATCCCCCTCTCCATCCTTCCTCTTGGCCGATAAACATTTTCTCCTCAATGAGAAATCTCCACAGACTCTGACCGCCGTATCTACCTACAGTGTCTGTACCCACATATACTCCGCCCTCCTGCCTGTTGCTACAGATGACCTGTCAGTGCTCCTATATAAAATCTGTCTCCTCTCTTATACTAGGAGATTCCATTCCCTCTCATCTATCCAAGAACATTGTTTCACCAGTCCCCCCTCCACCCTACTCTCCTACATTAACTTTCTGCTGTCTATTGGACCATTCCCTTCAAACATGCCATCTTTTCTCCTGTATCAAATCAAACAGAAACCTTCTCGACTGTATTTCCCCTAACAGCTACTGTCCCATTCTTTCCTCCTATTTGTGGCAAAACTTTGGAAGAGTTGTCCATATTCACTGTGTCTAATTATTCTTTCTCCCTTTCTCTCTTGAAGCAATCCAGTTAGGTTTTTGCATCATGGCCCTACTGGAAGTGCTCTTGTCAAGGCTGGTGACCTCCATGTTGTGAAATCTGAGCATCAATTCTGTCGTCACCTTACCTGGCCCCAGGAACAACATCTGACACAGCTGATCGTTCCCTCTTCTTGGATATACATTCTGTACTTGGCTTCCAACCCACACTCCTGGATTTTCCTTCTATGTCAATGACTGAACCTTTTCAGTTTCCTTTGCTGGTTCCTCCTCCTCTCTCTGATCTCTTGGTTTGCTCCAAGACTCAATCCTTGGTCCTCCACTCTTCACTATCTATATTCCCTCAGGTGATCTCATCCTGTCTCAAGTTTAAATACCTTCTATATGCTGAAGACTATCAAATATTTATCTCCAGCCAGACCCTTCCCTTGAATCATAGATTTGGATTTCCACCTGCCAACTTCCTTTCTTCTCTGAAATGATTAACTCAACATGTCCCAAACCAAACTCCCAATCTACCCCTCCCCCAAAGCTGCTCCATCATTAGTCTTCCCTGTCCCAGTTAGTGACAGCTCCATTATTACAGTTGCTCAGGTCCAGAATCTCAGGTCAGGGTCTGCTCTTCCTCTCATACTCTAAACCTAATCCACCAGCAAATCCTGCTGGATCTCCCTTCAAACTATATCCATCCCTTGCGCCCTCTCTTGCACCCTCCGCTGCTACCATCTCTTACCTGGATCACTGCAACTGCCTTCTAACTGCTCTCCCTGCTCCTACCTTTGCCTTGTGATGTACAGTGTATTCTCAACATGGTCATCAAAATGATTTAAAACAAAACCAGATCATGTCCGTCCTGTAACCAAAACCTTGCAGTGGTTCCCCATTTCACTCAGAGTAAAAGATAACGTTTTTTACAGGGCCTACGTGGCCCCTAGGCTCCCATTGTCTCTCTGCCCTCATCTCCCACTGTCTTCTCCCTCCCTCACTGTTCTCCGGCCACACTGGTCTCCTTGCTGTTCCTCAAACAAGTTTCAGGAGCACTCCTGACTTAGGTCCTTTGCACTGGCTTCTCCCTTTATCTGGAACAGGCCTGCTTTCCCTAGATTTATACACGGCTAACTCCCTCATGGCCATTAATTCTTTGCTCAAAGCTTACCTTCTCAACAAGGCCTATCCTCACCATTGTAATTAAAATTGCAATCTGTCCCTCTCTTCACACTCCTGATCCCCCTCACCTGCAGCACCCCCTCCTTTTCCCCCTTTGTACTTTCTAGTATACCATATAAGTTATTTATTATACAGTTTGTTGTCTGTCTCTCCCCACAAAAATATTAATCCTACAAGGGCAAAAATCTTAATCTATTTTGCCCACTAATGGACCTCAAGCACCTAGTACGGTGCCTGAACACAGCAGGCATTCAGTAAATATTTGAATGAATGATTCCTCATAGAGTACTCCATCTTCCTTCTGCCTTCTATATCCGGTAGAAATAATTTTAAATTTTCTAGTAGGCACAAGAACAAAAGTATTTTACATGTTTTGTGTAAAGGTAATTCTAATAAAGTTAATGCATTAAAATATTTAACAATGCGCTTGTTTAGTAATCTGAATTTCCTTGACAATAAGGTTCCATTTCATGTGAAAGTATTCATACTGTTGCAGTGTTCCATTTAAGTAAAACTTAAAATTCCTTTCCTCAGGTGTACCAGCAAAATCCCAAGTGCTCAACAGCCACATGTGGCTAATGACTACCAGACTCTACAGCATGGACACAGACTTGTCCAGGCCTCCTGCACAACTGCCATACCCCTTCATCTCCCTCCTATGTTAGACTCCCTTCCTCCTTGGTTTATGCACCAGCACATCCTCCAGCAGCCTCCTGAGAAAGTATGTAGGAGAAAAAATTGATACCTGTGTAACACACACAATGTTACCTACTGAAGAAGGCTTGATCCCTCTTTCTTCTTGCTAACAAAATATGATTATGTTCTGGCAGCAATATGTCCAGCCTTAGGCATAAATGAGAATTTACTAAGGCACCTGTAGACCCACCCCGCCCCCCCCCCAACTCCTTTACCGAGGGTTTGCATGTTTCCTAGTGTTGAAGCTGCTGAGGGTACCCTTTGGGGAAGATCTTCTGCCTGCCACCTCATTCTCTTGGGTCTGCTGGACCATCACTACCATCAATCTGCTTTCCAATTCCCATTTCCAATTCCCATCACTTCTCATCCTTTCAACAAGCATTTACTGAGAATGTATTGCGGTCCAGGAGTTATCCCGAGGTGCCAAGAATACTGAAGTTTTCGTTCTTATCATTTCTGTGAGTTTACATCTTTAAAGTTATTCCTTTGTAGAATAATTTTAGTGGGATAGGAGGGAAAAAAATCTATAAAGGATATCATTAGATAAACTGACAAAACTGGAATATGGAGGATAGATTAAAATATTATGCCCCTGTAAGCACACTGTGGTTATGCAGTGTGCATAATATCTCTAGTCTTAGGAAAAACATACTAAAGTAGTTAGGGGTAAGGGGCCATGAGGTATGTAACTTACTCTCAAATTCAGAAAAAAACAGAGCAGGCATGCATGCACGCACACGATAAAGCGAATGAGATAAAATGTTAACAACAGACTAACCTGGGTAAAGAGAGTACAAGTGCTCCTTGTACTACTTTTGGGAACTTTTTGTTTTAAATTTTTTCCAAATAAAAATGTAGAAAAAAATGTGCTATCATACTTTAGCCACGGGAGTACATTTGATTAAATGGTGACTGGAGTCCTCTGGGTATCTAACAGTCAAAACCAAAAGTTAATTTTTCTTCCAACACAGCACTTTAAAATGGAGTAGGTAATAATTAACTTTTGACACAGTTTTTGATAAAAGCATCAGGAAAAAATTTTAGAGAAAGAGTTTGCCGTATTCTTCTCTGAGTGACTTAAATCAGGGTTTCTTGACCCCCGTACTGTTGACATTTTGGGTTGACTCTCTGGTGTGGGAGGAGACTATCCTATGAATCACAGGATGCTCAGTAGTGTCCAGCCTCCCTAGCCTCTACCTACTAGATGCCAGCAGCACCCACCCAGTCCTGACAATCAAAAATATCTCCAGACATTGCTAAAAGTACACCAGGGGTGGGGGTGCGGGGAAAAACCATTGGTGCTTGAGAAGCACTGGTGTAAATCCAAGTAGGAGAAGCCCTGCTCAGGACTACAGGCCACAGTACAAGAGTGTATCAGAAACATCTGGAAGGTTTGCTAATTAAAATGGGCTCCCCTCTCCAGTTTCCGTTTCAGCAGGTCTGAGGGGGGACCAGTCACTATCGTTTCCAACAAGATACTAATGGTTTGGGGACCACACTTTGAAAACCACTAGGCTTGACATTTACTGATAGATAAATTACTCCCAACTACAGACATGGCAATAAAATTTTAAAAAGTCTTGGGGCGGCTCAGTCAGTAAAGTGTCCAACTTCGGCTCAGGTCATGATCTCGTGGTTTGTGAGTTCAAGCCCCGCGTCGGGCTCTGTGCTGACAGCTCAGAGCCTGGAGCCTGCTTCGGATTCTGTGTTTCCCTCTCTCTGCCCCTCCCATGCTCATGCTCATGCTCTGTCTCTCTCAATAATAAATAAAGGTTTAAATAATTTTTTTTTTAATTTTAAAAAGTCTGAGAAGACTTGCAAATCCAGATTTACAGAATGATGGCAAACATCACACAGATCATGAGGGTTACAGAAGGGCTATTTAGGGAGTATCTAGTACTGTTTTTAGATGTGTGCTTCCCTAAGATCACACAGGCAATCTGTGGTGCAGTTAGGGCAGGAAAAATAGGAAGCAAATGGGTTAGGTGGTAAGGACACTGGGCTTGGGAAAGGACATTTGAGTTTGCTGAAGCCCTAGGAAAAGTTATGTCACTTCTGTAAGTTTCAATTTCATCTGGAAAAAAAAAAGAGTTTAGGATCTTATGGACTACTTCCAGCTTTAAAAATAAAGAATTATACCTCTTTTTAAAAAAAGTTTATTTGGGGGCGGGGCAGAGGGACAGGGAGAGAGAGAAACCCAGTGCAGGACTTGAACCGACGACGGTGAGATCATGACCTGAGCCAAAGCCAAGAGTCGGATGCTCAACCGACTGAGCCACCAAGACACCCCTAGGATTACACTTCTTAAGTAAATGGTAGTCTAAGTTTACATAAATGTTTGTATACTTTTTGATATAATTAGAAAAGTAACAGTACCGAGGTCAGTTTCCCTCACTGTTAGGTCTGCCCTCTCTTCCACTACCATGTTGCTCAGTAAAAGCAGAGTATGTGTGGAATATTAAAACACCAAAAATAACTACATCTAAAGTAGCTATGAGATAAAGTTATAATTTTTAATTTGGAAATACATTTCTTAAGTATTTAATATACACAGCCTTATTTTTAAATTCCTCTTAATAAAATGCTTTAAAGTGAAACAAAATACTTTGAACGAAAATAAAAAAATTCATAAAACCTATATTAACTGAGTCAAGTGCCAACAAATATTATGATGCACAATAAAACATATTAAGAGTTTATATAATTTAAGTTAGACAAACTATAAAATACATTTACTTACCTCAACATTTCTAATGGATTTGTCTCATGTACTTGGTTGCCACACCTTGGACAATCATTGCTGTCTTCAAAGTGCTGGACAATACAAGTCTTACAGACTAAGAAGGAAGAAGATGTTAGGTTGAAACATATCATTTGAACTTAAATCAAATGTAATTAGAAACAGTCCTTAAAAACTGCCTACTATGGGTAGAATACTATTCTTTTACCAAATTTTATAAAACCTTAAAAAAAATTTTTTAACACCCAAATAATAAAATAAATACCCAACTGAAATGAAGCTTACAGTCAACAACATAAAAAGTATATACTACTTTGCTGATTGCTTTTCTTAAATATATTCACAAACCAAATAATTTGTTCATATTACTATGAAAAAGCTGGTGCGTTTACGTAAACAACAGTTTTCTCATTTAAAGAAGGAAAAGAAGCACAAACTGGTAACTCTGCACTTCTTTTGAATGCAACATAAATAGTTCTTAATAAAACTTGAGAATTTTCAACACCTTTGAAAATTCCCGGGACATGTGGGGAGTTACAATGGAACTGCCGGCCATGGCAGAGCCTGGTGAGTCTGTGCTCCCAAGTGCCCTAACTCCACGGAGCACAAAGTACAGTAGTGGCATCAAGTCGGTACAAAGGCATGAGCGTTAAAGTGGAAGAGCTGAGAAATGGACAGGTGTAAGTAAGATTTTAAATAAAAGTTCTAAACAAAGACAACAGAAATACGATTTGTGGATTTCTGGCCACAAGTCCATATAGCCTATGTTTCCTCTAACAGTACAAATCTTTCTGGCTATGAATCTCTCTCACCTTTTCCCTAGGTTTCTATTACCTACTATGTCAACTGTTTTGCCCAAAAACCTTAAACATATTTATAGCACCTAAACTATAAAAAAAAAAAAAAAAAAACTGATCTAATTCCCTGTCTCAATACCCCCTCCTCCATTTTATTACCCTGTATAATCTGAAATTCTTACCCAGTACAGATCAGCTCCCCCAGCTCCCTTTTTCAACTCCACTACAAACTACTACTTTCCCCCCTCCTCATGCCCCACACTAACTAAAAGAAGGAAAAAGTTTACGTAAACAATTGATCAAAAGTACACACTAGGATTCCTCCCACTGAGATTAGGTCTGAAAATTCAAGCATCTCACATACGTCGGTCAGGGCATCAATGGTCAAGGAAGAATTCTACTAGGTCTCTAATTTTAAAGTCATTAGTACATATATAGAATGATATCTTGGTACTTCCTTTCACTTACTCATTGATTCAATAGACACTGAATGCCATGCATCGTACTAGGAGTTGGGGATGTGGGGGCAAACAAAACAAAGCCCAGACCTTTACAGAGCTTGTATTTTCTTTGGACAGGCAAGCAAAGAATTTTAGTAATAAGTGATATTTATATATAAAAAAAAAAGTAGCTAGAGTGCTAAGAACTATCAGCTATTTTAGACAGAGTGGCCAGGGTAGGGCTTTCTAAGAAGATGACATATGAGCAGATATTTTTTGTTAGGTAAGTACACCTGATTCCCATATTCTCTCTTTTTCCCAGCATATAGCTATTAGGACAGTACCTCTTCACTAAAATTCTCCCCAAATTTGGATGAGAAAACAGTATCAAAAAACCTTAAAAATAAAAGAGCTTAGATATGAATACTTCCTCTGTCTTCCAAATCCCTTGGCCCCAAGAAGGTTCTAAATGTCTTTTAAAAAGTCAATGTTTGGGAAGAAAGGACTTTCTTGGTAAGCTATATTAAAGTGGAGAGCAGAGAAGCTGAATTCTTTCAAAGCTTGCTAGTATTTGCTCTTTACCCAGGGACACAAGATAAGTCTCTGAAAGTTGGGAAAGAAGCAAAAAAAAAAAGACAGATAAGAGGCAAGAATGAAGAGTATTACAAAGCCTGATCCTATCCTAAATCTCTGATCCGACCCTGGAGCTCTGATCCTTGTGGTTCAAAAGGTTTATCAAACTCAAAGAGTTCAGGAATTCCTGGCTGTCTACCAGGAATGTCACATTTTATTTCTACTGAATGAGTGCTGTTTTAGAGGGATGCAGAAAGCCCCATCAGGAGGTGAATTTATTTTTCACACCAACATTTGAGATAAAGTACTTCATTCTACTTTCGAATACGCAGAAGAGGTTTCCACAGGCCAAGTTACCTGCCTACTCTGATGAATGGCAGCACAGAGACTTGAACCCAGGTTTTCTGATATGAAATCACAAATTTTAAAGATTTTTTTAACTTTACAGAGGAAAATACCAGGTGTACCAGGCACTACCCTAAATGCTTCAACCCTACTAATTAGGTAATATTATTAGGCCTCTTACAGCTGAAGAAATAGAGTAGAACTTTAGTATAATTTGGCAAAAATCATAGAGTCAGTAAGTGTGAAAAGCCAGGGTTTGAGTCAAGAGCCCATTTGCTTAACTAATGCATGTCTACATGATATAGTTTCTTCTGATTTTATTTCTATGGACCTATAATATATAGAAAAAGAATGCCTTACCACTTAATTTGGAAACCTTAAAAATGTCTATGTATAGAATCAGATCTCCTTTTAAGCTGAATATTTCGCACAAAATAGCCCCTTTAATAGCTCATTTATTCCTTAAAAAAAAAACTCTAGAAAATACATTTCCTACATGCTTTTAAAAACTGCTGAATAAAGCACAACCTTATATGAATTAGAACCTGAGAAAATCCAGGCCAGGATTTTAGCAAAACTGAAAAAAGTAAAGGGAGGATTTACTTTCCTTTAGATGCTTAAAAAATCCATCATTACAAAACTGACCTCTCTTAGTTTATAATTGTTTATATTAGGTGGAAAATACATTTTAAAAATATCTTAAAGATTTCATATCGGGGCGCCTGGGTGGCGCTGTCGGTTAAGTGTCCGACTTCAGCCAGGTCACAATCTTGCGGTCCGTGAGTTCGAGCCCCGCGTCAGGCTCTGGGCTGATGGCTTGGAGCCTGGAGCCTGTTTCCGATTCTGTGTCTCCCTCTCTCTCTGCCCCTTGCCCGTTCATGCTCTGTCTCTCTCTGTCCCAAAAATAAATAAACGTTGAAAAAAAAATTAAAAAAAAAAAAAAAAAGATTTCATACCAAGCTTTCTAATTAATTGCTCAACTGCTGTACTGGTTAAATCAGCGAGTCTGAGAAAGATGTTGAAAAAGTCCCCGCCCAGGTTAAGACTGTGTATGGAGACCAACTAGAGTCTTCACTCTCACCAGCCCCTCTATGGACAGATGTCCTAGCCACAAGAAACACCTGGGTGAGAAAGGGAATCAGGCTCACCAAAGATATCCCCAGTTGGAAAACACTTAAACAGCAACAAGCGCTAACATTTCCTGAGCCTAACCAAATATAGGCTCTGGGCTCAAGGCTTTGTGTCATTACAGGATGGACTTTTACCACCCCCTTGGGCAAATGAGAAATGTAGTACTGGAGAGCCGGAGCAGAGCGGCTGTCCGCAGCTGGTCGGCTGCCTAGCGCAGACGACATCCATCCTCAGGCCGTGCAGCCCCAGGCCTAAAATCCAAGGCGCCACACACCAAATCTTAATGTCTGTAACACTTGGTCCTTGACATAAAGATTTCACTTAAGGCATTTAAGCGTTTTTTTAACTGATGCTTATATTTCGCCCAGCACAAATCGCCTTAAACTTCTGCCTAAAGCTTTCTAAGCAAAATTTTTTTCACCTAGTTCAAATTCTTGTATTTGAACTAGGTTGTTGCAGAAACAGAGTAAAAATCATTGTATCATCTAAAGCTGTGGTTCTCAGGGTGCTTAGGTGGCTCAGTCAGTTAAGTGTTGGACTCTTGATTTCGGCTCGGGGCATGTTCTCACACACAGTTGGTGGGTTGGAGCCCCACACTGGGCTCAGCACTGACAGCAGAGAGCCTGCTTGGGATCTCTCTCTCTCTCTCTCTCTCTCTCTGCCCTTCCCCTGCTTGTGCACACCTGTGCTCACTCTCAAATAAATATTAAAATTTTTTTAAAAAAGAGCAGTGGTTCTTTTTTCTGGGGTATGTATATATGTATATATGTGTCTGTATGTACATGTATGTGTGTATTGTATGCATGCATAATATGTATAATATGCATGCATAATATGCATACATATGAATATGAACCATAAAAAAGAATGAAATCTTGCCCTTGGCAACAATATGGATGGACCTACATGGTTAGTGAAATAAGTCAGAGAAAACCAAATTCCACTTATATGTGTAATCTAAACAGAAAAAAAGGGAACAAATAAAACAAAGAGATTGACAGAGAACAAACTAATAGTTGTTAGTTTGTTAGGAGGGGATGAATATGGGGGGGGATGCATGAAATAGTTAAAAGGGATTAAGGGCTACAATCTTCCAGTTATAACATAAATAAGACATGGGCTGTAAGGTAGAACATAGGGAATATGTTTATATAATATGGTAATATATATAGTAATGTATATATAATACAGTAATATATATAGTAATACAGTCAATATTACTGTGTCAACTTTATATGGTGACAGATAGTAACTAGGCTTATTGTGTTGACCATTTTGTAATGTAGGTAAATATAAAATCACTATGTTGTATACCTGAAACGAATATAATATTGTATGTCAATTATTCTTCAATAAGAATACTTTTTTTTTTTAAGTAGTGGTTCTCAAATCACCACAATCACCAGTGAGATTTTTTTAAAAGATAGATTGGTGGACCACATCCAAGACCAATTAAGCCTGAATCTCTGTGAGATTAGCACCAGAGATTTTAACCTTGCAAAGCTCTCTCACTGAGGCAGCCAAAAAACAACTAGGAAATCCTGACCAAGGATTCATTCGGAAGTTACTTTCTTATTCACCATAAGGAAATCACTGTCACAGGACAAAACATAGTCAAAAGAATGTGGGATTAATTCACTCTCCCCATAATGCAGATCTACTTGAGAACCAGGTAGTATACAACACAGTTGTTCTAGATAAAAATGGTCTTGCAGCAGACTGCCTGGAGCTGAGTCCCAGTTCTCTCATTTGGCAAATTACTTACTTTGCACTTCTATGTACGAGGAAGACAGCAAAGGTTCCTATCTCAC